CCTTCTCCTTCTCCTTCTCCTTCTCCTTCTCCTTCTCCTTCTCCTTCCCCTTCCTCTTCCTCTTCCTCCTCCTTCTTTTTACTTATGCTGGTATTCTATTTGCATGGAATTTTTCTCCAACTACTTCCTGTATCTATTTAAACCATCTCAAATCAGAGTCACAGACTATTTCTGATTTTCCCTACCCTGAAGTATATTGACTTCTATGTCTACTCCAATTAGTGTTTGTTTCTACTGTTCAAATAGTAATTGAATGTCTTATAACATTCTTTATTGTTCTTGTAAGTCTTTTACTATTATTTAACATTCCACATGTCTTGTTTTCTCAACTAGATTATAAACTCCCTGAGGGCAGGTATGATTCTTTTTTCCATTTCTTTGTGTTTCTTCATTGCATTTAGCACAGTACTATCTAGTGTGTAGACATTCAGTTTATTGATGTGGCTTTATTTTAAATATATTTAATTTTAGATGTTTCAAGTGAATGAGCATTTAAAATTAAAACCTAAACATCTCTTTGCTTTGTGTTATATTTGTATATTCAACTAATATCCAGTAATCTTTAGCAATTAATTGCTTTAGATTACTAACTTGGTGGGTTTTCCTTAACAGATTTTTAATTCCAATTGAGATAGTTAAAGGTAGTCTTCTGCCATAAAATGTGTTTTCATTTGTATGAAATAATCATATTAGCTTGAATAAAATGTTTGAAAGGTAAGTTATCAGGTGTAAAATGTATTATCAATACAAACAGTGAATGTGGATTATTCTCTTTATAAAATCAGCATCGTTCCTGTTGTAAAGTTTCATAAACAACTAATAATTAGAGTCACTTTGTAGTGGTAACTTATAGGTCAGGGTCTGTTTGAGACTTGTGTGTAGATATGTTTTTATATCTCATGAGCTGCCATATGCTGCAATTTCCTTATTAACTTGTTTAATTTATATCTAGAAGCCACAGAAGAAGTTTCTTTGGACAGTCCAGAAAGAGAGCCCATCCTGTCCTCTGAGCCATCTCCTGCAGTCACTCCTGTCACTCCCACTGCACTCATTGCTCCTAGAATCGAATCAAAGAGTATTTCTGCTCCAGTCATCTTTGATAGATCCAGGGAAGAGGTATGGAAAACATTTATAATTCTGGGTTAATATGTAAAGAATGCATTGTTATTCTTTATGCAGTACCTCTCTCCTGTTAATTATTCTTCAATAAAGCCTTTCATACATTTTATATGGAAAAACTATGCTAAGAAGAAAGACATGATTGCACATGTCATTAATCCCAGCACTGGGAGGCGTAGGTGGGTAGATCTCTATTTGTTAGAGGCCAGCTTGATTTTACAAGTGAGGTCTAACCCAACTAGGGTTACATAGTGAGAGCTGATGTTAAAACACATTCATATCATTCTCTGTGTGTGTGTGCCTCAACTGACCTGGCATATTCTCTACATTTTTGCTGTTGCTGTTCTGGTTTGGTTTGACTTTTGAGACATGGTCTTTTTTACTCTGTAGCCCTGGCTGGGCTGGAACTCATATTGTCTCAACTGACTTCAAACTCACAACAATGCTCTTGTCTTAACTTTTCTAAATGATTCACCCCACTGAGCCCTACCACTTAACCTTCCTAAATCAAAGAGTTTGAAGCTGGAGTGTAACTCAGTTGTAGAGTGCTTGCCTCATACACTCATGACTCAAATTCTACCCCCAGAGCTACCAAAAAAAAGAAGAGTGTTTGATGCTTAAATCATGATATTTGACATTTGTGGTCTTATGATAATAGTGTATACCTGAGGATTCCTATGTTGAAAAGGTGAGGGGTGAAAGTACTTAAAGTTGTGTTGTGAGGAATGTTCTTTATAGACCATGCAATGAATACTATGGAAACCCTCTTTCTTTATTATAGTACTTGCCTGTATGTATGCCTGCAGGCCAGAAGAGGGCACCAAATCTTATTGTAGATGGTTGTGAACCACAATGTTGCTGAGAATTGAACTAAGAACCTTTGGAAGGGCAGACAGTGCTCTTAATTTTTGAACCATCTCTCCAGCCCCCATACTATTGATATTAAGATTGCTACCTAGCATTTATCTTTTTATTTTTTTCAGTACTAAATATTGGACCCTGGGGCTCTTGCATGATAAGCTAGTGGTTTACCTTTTAGCTCCATGTCCATGTTATTTCTTTATGAACTTATTCAAGCTTTTATTTTTAAAAGAAAGAAGTACAGATCAATTTAAGTTGCATTTTCTTTTTCTTTTTTTTGAGACAAGATTTCTCTGTGTAGCCTTGGCTGTCCTGCACTCACTTTGTCGACCAGGCTGACTTCAAACTCAGGGAGATCTGCCTGCCTCTATCTCTGCTGGGATTACAGGTGTGCACCACCACCCCTAGATTTAAGTTGCATTTTCATGACCTGCTAATTCTTTTGCTTTATAAAGGATAGAGTTATTAAGACACAGCAATAGTTTGTAATAAGGCACATGTGGAGAAGAAAATAAATCATGCTGTGGAGGTTATCTTAAATATAAAACATTTTAAAATTATTTAACTAGAAATGTACAACCAATATAATCATGATTAAATAATGCCTATATACAAACATGTGAACACCCTTCCAAAAATAATACAAAGAGATAAATGAGTACTATATTGTTTGATTCCATGATGTGAACTTAAAAAACAGGTAGTTAGTGAACAACATACTTACCGTTAGATATCAGGCAGTGTCTGTGCTGGCAGGGTGAGGCAGTTGTGACCGGAAGGCGAGCTGGAAGGCTGTCTTTGGGGCTGTACTAGTTGCTTGCATTTCTCATTTAGGTTCTGGTTCCAAAGATGAGCTCATTTTGTGAGAATTATTGAACTGTCCACTTAGCCCTTTATAACACTTTTTTGGATCACAGTGTGTATATACGGAACATGTGACTTTGAAAAGAAAGACGGTTAGGAAAATATACTTTTGTTATAGCTTTATAGTACTAATATTGCCTTGACATTTTGGCCATTTAATACTCTGAGATGTCTTATTCTTTTTTTTTTGCTTATGTTCAGTGCTGTAAATAGAATCCAGGGCCTTGCTTATGCTAGGCAAGCATGCTACCTCTTGAATGACACACCCAGCTGACCTTCCTACAAACTCTTCCTATAATAAAAGTGTTTAAAATGCTTGGGGTGGTTTTTTTTGTTTATTTGGTTTTGTTTTTGTTTTTGTTTTTTTTTTTTTTTTTGAGTTAGAATTTCTCTATGTAGCCCTGGCTGTGCTAGAACTCACTCTGTAGACCAAGATGGTCTTGAACTCCATATGCCTCTGTCTCCCAAGTGATGGGATCAAAGGCTTGCACCACCACCACCCAGCTGAAATGCTTGTTTTAAATTCTAGATTGATGAAGAAGCAAATGGAGACATTTTTGATATAGAAATTGGTGTGTCAGATCCAGAAAAAGTTGGTGAGTCATTATATTTTGTACTTCTTTTTGATTAATTGTTATATACTATAGTTTTCCCCTTAAGTATATGGTTATAGTATTTTTAAAATTTTTTATATTTTATTTTGAAATATTTAATTAATTTATTTTTAATCATTTTGGTGGTACTAGGGATTAAAACCAGGGTCTTACACACATTAGGCTAGCGTTCCACTGCTTACCTCTATCTAGCCCAAGCATTTGAATTTTAATGATATTCTTGACTTGTTTTCATTACAGGTGATGGCATGAATGCCTACATGGCATATAGAGTAACAACAAAGGTGAGCTTTTTGCTTCTTTAATGAAGTGTTGGCCCCTTGTGTGGCATAGTAGAGAGTATGTGAGCATAAGAACTAGAGTATGCAGGGAGTAAACTAATCTGGATCTGAGGGTCAGGCATGGCCAAAGTAGTTCTAAATTGAGGCATAGGTGAGTGGGTGACGAGGTGGGAATGGGAGGGAGAAAGAAGCAGGGTGCTTCTTTCAGGAAAAATTTTTGCTTGTATAAAAGCCCAAAGTCAAGAGTCTTCCTTTCTAGAGACTTATCTGTTAGTGACTCAAGACTGAATTTGTGAGCCACAAAGGCTTTCTGTATTTCAAAGAGCCTCATTAAGGAGTTTTGGTTTCTTCCTTAGCTTAACTAGAGAGCTGTTAGGGAAGTTCAGACAAAAGCTTGACACTATCAGATTTTCCTTGGGACAGCTCTGTCTTAATTCAGTGTGAATTGGGACAGTCCAAGTACAGGTCAAGATGTCCAGTTGAAAGGCCACTGCAGTTTTTTTGTTTGTTCATTTTTGTCTCTGTTTTTTGTCTTTTTGTTGGTTGGTTGGTTTTTCGAGACAGGGTTCCTTGTGTAGCCTTGGTTGTCCTGGACTCTCTTTGTAGACCAGGCTGTTTTTGAACTCAACAGAGATCCACCAGCCTCTACCTCCCTCATGCTGGGGCTAAAGCCTTGTGCCAGCACAACCCACTGTTGTTTTTTAACCTGTAAGCCACATTAGGTGCTCTGTTTTGTAAACAAAACTATACCTGCAGTTATGTGCAACACCCATTTGTAAATGATTGCTTACTATTAACGATGTGAAATGCCTTTTTTCATTTGTAGACTTCTCTTTCCATGTTCAGTAAGAGTGAATTTTCAGTCAAAAGAAGATTCAGTGACTTTCTTGGTTTGCATAGCAAATTAGCGAGCAAATATTTGCACGTTGGTTACATTGTGCCACCAGCTCCAGAAAAGAGTATAGTAGGTAAGCATAAGTCAGAATATTACGTTTCACTGTCTCTAACTCAGTTTTCGCTGTTGTGGTTTGCGCATTCCTTAATCATCCTCTGTCAGGCCCCTGTCTAGAAGTGCAGGTTTAGATGTATTTGGGTCCTACGGATCCCTGAAGAATGGGTAACTTACAGTTTCAATTTTTAACACATAAATTTCGTTAAATATTGAGTTGAAACTGACCAAATTAAAGGTGGTTAGAAACTAACTTTCTAGTATCATTAGAATACCAATTTTACTGAGTCCTGTTCTGGTGATACTTAATGATGTTAACATGTTAATGTTTTCTCTAAGAGCTTAATGTTGTTTGGAGCTCAGATACATATTGTCCAAAGAGAAGTTCAGTTTAGCCTTGCTTATGTAAGACCAATTAAATTCATCTTAGTTTATTACATAATGGGTTTCCAGTCAGGTTTAGTGAGCAAAACAAAACAAAACACATTTCTTCTAATTAATACCAGCAGTAAGGGCATAGGGTTTTTTGTTTGGTTTTGTTTGGTTTCTTGAGACAGGGTTTTTCTATATAACAGAGCCTTGGCTGTCCTGGAACTCACTTTGTAGACCGGGCTGGCATCCAACTCACAGAGATTTGCCTGCCTCTGCCTGCTGATGCTGGGATTAAGGGCGTGCGCCACCATGTCCAGCAGACTTAGTAATTAAAATGCAGAAAATTACTTCTTTTAAGCAGAAAGCCTTCATTATCTTTAGTATAAAAATTTTGCTATTTTATTTATTGTGTGTGTTGGGGATGTAACTCTTGCTACCACATGTGTGCGGAGGGCAGGACAATTTATGGAAGAGTCAGTGCTCTTATTTTATGTGGATCACTGGGGTTGAACTCAGGGTTGGCAAGCAAGCATCTTTATACACTGAGCCGGCTCACTGGCCTCCAGTATTCCACTTTTAAAACTTATATCTTAAAATTTATAGGTTATTACCAGTCTGATTAAGTCCTAGGTTTACTGACCCCATTTTCATTTTCTTTACACTCAAAATTATTGCTCTGAAATATATTTAAAATGAATTTTGCCAATTATTAGTTTTATTAAGTGTTTGGCTTAAAAAGTAATTTTATAATTTATAATTTTGAAGCTTGATGTGTTCAAATGAATATGTCATATTTTCCTAATCCTTAAATAAAAAATTTTAGGGTTAGTTTTTTTTTTTTTTTTTTTGAGGTGGGATTGAGCTCAGTATCTTCAGCATGCTAGGTATACAGTACTACTAAATTATTTCTGTAGACCCAGTTTTCTAATTTTTAAAAATAATGATACTGTATTGTTTCAGAATTGTCTAAGATGCATTTATAATGGGTTAAGTTTAGCTGGAAATGAAGCCTTGTTGACAGTGTTTGCTTAGCATGCACAGATTCCTTTGTTTGATTCCTAGCACTCAGGTAGACAGGAGACTCACGTTCAGTCATCTTTGTCTACACAGCAAGTTCGAGGCAAGCCTAGGCTGTATAAGGCTCAATAAATAAACGGACTAGATCGTTAAGACTAAATAAATAAATAAAGTGGTCTATATTGTTTGAATACCATTTCATTCCAAAAATGTTCTGAGGAAAGTACATGTATGTGTAATATGTTTATATGCATATGTATACTTGTATATATAGTCAGATAGTGTAATAAAACAGTTTTCTCCAAAAATTGTGAACAGTTGAAAGTAAGTAGCAGATTAATCTTTGAACTTTCTGGCAGATAGCTAGTAGAGAAGCATTTATGCCTTTCATAACACCGCATATTATTGACAACTTTTGAATTACTATATATTGTCTAAAAAAATAAAAGGTAATCCCTTTAGTTACATAGCTTGTGGTAGGTTTATGTGCTGAGCTTGTTTTGTTTTTTAAGATAGGGTCTCATGTAGCTCGGATTGGCCTTAAACCCAGTGTGTATGAAGGATAACCCTGAGCTCCTGATCCTTCTATGCCTCCCCGGTGTTTACATTTTAGATGTGGACCACCATGCTCAGTTTGCTTGCTTGCTCCACTCATTCATTCACCCATCCATCCATTTATTTATTTGTTTGCTTAGAGTCAAAGTCTTGCTGTGTAGCCCAGGCTGGCCCAAACTCACAATCCCCCTACCTCATTCTCTCAAGTTCTGGGATTATAGGCATCTGTCACCACAGTTGTGTAGGTGTGCAGATTTTTTAAGTAATATATCTCTTGAGAGATAGCAGGTTACAAATAGTAGCTTTCTGGGAAGCTGTAACTGCCACTGAATGGAGTCTGTGTTAACAACTTGGTTGAGTTAAAAGCACAATTCCTTTTAAACTACTAGAAAAGCAACAACCTGGCATGAGTGCATTTTTACAATGCTAGCACTGGGGAGCCTTAGGCTAGACGATCAGGATGTCCAGGTCAGCTTAAGCTACATAGTTGAGATCTTGGCTCTATGAAACAAAGACAAAAATGAAAAACAAAAAATAAAACAAGACAGCAGAATATACACAACATCCTAGCTCAGCAGCAGGGAAAGCATTTAGCAAATTCATTAATTACATTTAATGCATGTCATCATTCCATAAAGACCTTTATTGACGTTCACTGACTATAGTTTTTTAAACTCCTTTAGATAGATGTCTTGAAATGTAGGAATGGGACCTAAGGAGATGGCTCAGCAGTTAAAAGTGCTTGCTACTGTTGCAAAGAGCAGCTGGAGTTTGCTTACCAGGATCCTTATTGGGCCTTTCACAACTGCCTGTAACTCCAGTTCCAGAGGATCTGATTAATCTGGCTTCAGCAACATCTATGTATGCATGTGTAGATAACAAAATGCACAAACACAGAAGTAAAAATGAAATCTTTTTTTAAAAAAACGTAGAAAAAAATTAAGCTGGGATCTAGGTCAGAGGTAGAGCACTTGTCTAGAATTCAAGAAGCCTTGGGTTCAAGTCCCAAGGATAGGGAGAAAATACACTTGAAATATAAAACATTTGTGTTTTTTAAAGTGTGAAATAATAGTTAGGCATGGTGGTGCACACCTTTAATCCCAGCACTCAGGAAGCAGAGGCAGGTGGATTGCTGTGAGTTCGAGGCCAGCCCTGGTCTACAAAGCAAGTCCAGGACAGCAAAGGCTATACAGAGAAACCCTGTCTCAGAAACCAAAAAAAAAAAAAAAAAAAAAGTGTGAAATACCACAAATTCTGAAATTTTTTGTAAGCTTTTGTATAAACTTACTGAATGAGTTCGAAAGCCACAAATATAGCGTATTGTGCTTTATTTACATTCTACTGCTGTAGATATTTATTCACTAATTAGGGATATTAACACATGATAAGATGTAATGTGCTTCAGAATGGCTAAGATCCCAGTTACCAGCATAAGGACATCACTATCAAGTTGAAGGTCTATTTTGACTATGAAGATGTTATGATGGTCTGTTAATAATGATCTGAAATTCTTATGAATCTCATCCAACTTCTTCAAAGGGATGACCAAGGTCAAAGTAGGTAAAGAAGATTCATCATCCACCGAGTTTGTAGAAAAACGAAGAGCGGCACTGGAGAGGTAATTCTGAGCTGCAGCACCACTGTTGCCATGCTTTTATTATCTTCAGCTTTGTGGTCTAACAGCAGGACACCTGTTTCTTCTGTAACATGCTATAAGTAGGACAATAAAGGAATTAATCAGCTGATGTTAGGATTATACCATCTTCACCAGGAGCCCTAAAAAATGGCTGTAGTTGTAAGAGGGAAGCATGAAAGTTGTGCTTGCAGGAACACTTGATAGAATGTCTAGCAAAACCATGTGTGTTGCACACTCCAGCCTTCCCGGTATTCAGTAGATTGGTAGGAGGGCTTATAACCTGGGCATGTCCTGGGCTACATGGAAGGACCCAGTCTCTCAATACAAGCAAAAACAAGGAAGAGAATGGTACTCTCTGGAGAGATGCTTATATCACATTTATGAGGCCTTGGCTCATACCCTCAGCATAGCCCCTCCCCAAACCAACAGATATAGTTATTTAGATTCTTAGAAAGTTATGCCATACTCATCTACTTTTTTAATTATGCCATATTTTGCCTACCATTTTAATAATTTATAGTTTGTCTAAATTGATTTTTTAAATTAGATTTGTTTATTTTAATATATGTGAGTGTGTTGCCTGAATGTAAGTATGTGCACTACATGCAAGCTTGGTGCCTTGTAGGTCAGAAGAGGGTTGGAATTACAGATGGTTGTGACCACTGTGTGGGTGCGGGGAACCAGGCCTGTGTCCTCTCCGAGAACAACTGTTTATAATAACTATTGAGCCATTTCTACAGCCCCAAATTAACTTTTTGTTTGAATTATTTGATATAAGCAGTGTAAAATAGTGAAAACAGTGTGTGTGTGTGTGTGTGTGTGTGTGTGTGTGTGTGTGTGTGTCCTGTCATTTTTTTTGTACTTGATTTTGACTTTAATGGACGGTAATGTTACTCCTTGCTTAGATTTATTATATGATAAAAACTAATAATAGATATGTTCCATCTTCTTTTAGAGTATATAATTGTACTTGCCCTATAGATTTAAAGACTTACTTTTGTTCTTTCCTTTTTGAGACAAGTTCTTACTGTGTAGTCCCAGTCTGATCTCAAACATAGAGATCAGTCTGCCTTCTGCCTCCCACATTGCTGGGATTAAAGGTGTGCACTGTCATACCTGTCCTAAAACATACATTTTTAATGGCAGGCTAAAAGGGTGGGAATATTCCCACTCCTAGTATCTTAACATATAATCCTTTCTTACTGTGCTGAAATGTAAAAAAAAAGAAGTGAGACTGTTAGAACCCAACTTTACAGTATAAAGCTGGCTGGCCTTGAATTCAGAGGTCAGCCTGCCTCTGCCTCCCTAATTGCTGGGCTTACAGGCCTGCACCACCACACCAGGCTCAATTTTTAAAAATTTAAACATAAAAAAACAAAAACTAAAGAATAAGTAGTTTGTGGTGGCACACATCTTTAATCCCAGAAATTGGGAGGCAGAGGCAGGTGGAATTCTGTGAGTTCAAGGCCACCCTGGTCTGCATAGTGAGATCAGAATTCAGAGAGACCCTGCCTCAAACAAACAAACAAACAAACAAAGAATGTGTAGTTTACTGTTTTAAAATTTAAAAGACTGAAAAATGGGATTATTTAAGAGAAAATCTAATTATTCAAAATGATATAAATTGTATCAGAATTATTCCTTCTATTTTTTTTTCAATTATTCTCTTTCTTTTCTCTTCTGCCTTCTCCTCCCCTTTCCTCCCCTCCCCTCCTCTCCTCTCCTCTTTTCTTTCTCAGAATGTATAGAATAATCCCTTTAAAACATTTTGGAGCTGGGCACGGTGATGCACACACCTGTAATCTTAGCACTCTGGGAGGCAGAGTCAGGTCTCTGGGAGTTCAAGGCCAGCCTGGTCTACAAAGTGAATCCAGGACAGCCAAGGCTACACAGAGAACCCCTGTCTTAAACCCCCCCCAAAAAAAACAACAACAACAACAACAAAAACACAGATTCTGCCGGTAGTGGTTTCAAAAGCTTGTAATCACTGTACCTGGGAAGCAGAAGGAGAAGGATTAAGAGTTCAAGGGTTATCCTCAGTTACGTAGAGAGTTTGAGGCCAGCCTGGGCTGTATAAGACAGTTTCAAAAACAAACAAAACCACTCTGCAATAGATTGCACTAACTTTTAATTTCACTCAGTGAGACTCAGGTTCTTACGTTTGATTATGGATCCATACCTGACCTGCACTGCTCATTGATTTTGTTGTTACCTGTATCTTTTATGTCTGTTTTGTCACTCCCTTGCCTCTGGGCCACAGTGACCCTTTTGTTTGGAGACTGAGGCGTTTCTACCTTTTACCCATCTAAATCTCATTATCCTTTCAAGTTTAAATGTTCAAAAGCCTGTTCTGACAACTGGCTTTATTGTACCTATCTAAATTGGCAAAGAACACATCTTATGTACTTGGCCCTGTGTGACCCATTCATTCTTTTCTCACAAGGCTTGTTCATATTATATATTATGTAATTTATGTGATTGTTATGTTTATAGCCTATTATCTGTCTCCTAGTACCAAAATGTAAGTTCCATGAAGAAAGAGATATTAATAACTTTTGCATGCTGATGGATTCTAGGACATCAGAATAGCATGTATTTAGTGCTCAGCAAATGTCTGTTCAATAAACAGGTGATTGTCATCTAAGACCCAGACTTGTTTTTGTTGGCATTGATGTTAAAGTAAGAGAAATTATTTTTAACTCTATTTATCTTAAGGATTTTATACAGCTGTCTTTTTTGTTTTGTCTAAGCACAAGTAGAATCTGGAAAGCCTAAATTATTATTCTCAATTCATTCTGCTTAAAGCAGATCTGAGTTGCTGCTGGTCTCTCTTAGGAGTGTGATATTGGCATGAGCTTAGGCTGCTTTTACGTGTTACTCACTTTTATATCACACTCTTTCTGTTTGTATGTTTCATTTCCCTTTTCCTTTGAACTCGGGCCTCATTCTGAATTGTCATGTGTTTATAAATGTTCATTGTTTAAAACCCTGTTCTTAAGTTTAATATTACAAAAGCCACAGTATTTTTTATTTATTTACTTCCCTGTAGCGCTTAAAACATTTTATGCCAGGTGGTGATTGTCACTCCGTTAATCCTAGCACCCAGGAGGCAGAGGTAGGTGGATCTTGAGTTCGAGGTCAGTCTGGTCTATAGTGATTTCTAGGACAGACAGCACTACACAGAAAAACCCTCTTTTTCTCAAATATTTTCTGAAATTGTTGCCTCAGGAAGCTTATATCTGCCAGGATAAAATGAGACACATTGTCAGCTGAATTTTTTATTTTAAATATTTTATTTATTTATTATGTATACAATGTTCTGTCTGCATGTACACTTGCATGCCAGAAGAGGGCACCATATCTCATTATAGATGGCTGTGAGCCACCATGTGGTTGCTGGGAATTGAACTCAGGACCTCTGGAAGAGCAGCCAGTGCTCTTAACCTCTGAGCCATCTCTCCAGCCCCCAGTCAGCTGAATTTTGATAACAGAATTTACCAAAGTTAAATATTGTCAAGTATGTTTAATCTCAGCACTGGGGAGCCTTAGACAGGCTGTTCTCTGTGTTCGAGGGTAGTCTATGCTCCATATCGAGGACCAGACCAGCCAGGGCAACACAGTGAGACTATCTCAAAAAAACAAACCCAAACAGTTCAATTTTATAAGACTTCTTATAGCATTTTTCATAAAGAAATATGTGGGCTGGCAAGATGGCTTAGCAGGAAAAGGTAGTGGCTACCAAGCCTGACAACTTGAGAGTGATCTTCCAAATTCATATGATGGATAGAGAAAACTGACTCCTGCAAGTTGTCCTTGTCCCACATGTGCCCCTACCTGTTAAATGGCTTTTTTTAAAATTATCATTTATTACAATTTGTTAAATTTTTATTCGGGCTGTGGTCCCCTTCCTCATCTCCTCTAAATCCCACCCTTCCTCCCTCTTCTCCCCCTATTCGCCTCCCTTAGTCCACTGATAGGGAGGTCCTCCTCCCCTTCTATATAACCCTAGCCTATCAGGTCTCATCAGGACTGGTTGCACTGCCTTCATCTGTGGCCTGGCAAGGCTGTACCCCCGCCCCCAGGGGAAGGTGATCAGAGAGCCTGTCACTGAGTTCATGCCAGAGAAAGTCCCTGCTCCCCTTACTAGGGACCCCACTAGGATACTGAGTCTATGGGCTACATTTGAGTGGAGTTTTAGGTCCTCTCCATGCATTGTACTTGGTTGGGGTATCAGTCTCTTCAGGGCCCCCAGGGCTCAGTTATTTTGGCTCTGTTGGTCTCCTTTTGGAGTTCCTGTTCCCTCCAGGTCTTTCTGTCTCCCCCTTCTTTCCTTAGATTCTCTGCACTCTGCCCAAAGTTTGGCTACGAGTCTCAGCTTCTGCTTAGCTACCTCAATCAGTAGAGATTTTCAGAGACCGTTTGTGGTAGGCTCCTGTCCTGTTCCCTGTCATCTCCTGCTTCCGATGTCTATCCCATTTGTCCTTTGGAATGAGGATTGAGCATCTTTCCTAGAGTCTTCCTTGTTTAGCTTCTTTAGGAGTATAGATTTTAGTAGGTTTAGCCTATATTATATGTCTAATATCCACTAATGAGTGAGTATATACTATGTGTGTCTTTCTGCTTCTGGGTTACCTCATTCAAGGTGCTCTTTTCTAGTTTCCACCATTTGCCTGCAAATTTCATTATTTCCCTGTTTTTAATAGCTGAGTAGTATTCCATTGTGTAATTGTACCACAATTTCTGTATCCATTCCTCCGTTGAGGGACATCTAGGTTGTTTCCAGCTTCTAGCTATTACAAATAAAGCTGCTACAAACATGGTTGAACAAATATCCTTGTTATATAATTGAGCATATTTTGGATATATGCCTAGGAGTGGTATAGCTAGATCTTGAGGAAGCACTATTCCCAATTGTCTGAGAAAGTGCCAGATTGATTTCCAAAGTGGTTGTACCAGTTTACATTCCCACCAGCAATGGAGGAGGGTTCCCCTTTCTCCACACCCTCTCCAGCATATGTTGTCACTTGAGTTATTCATCTTAGCCATTCTGATGGGTGTAAGGTGAAATCTTAATGTTGTTTTGATTTGCATCTCCCTGATGACTAAGGATGTTGAACATTTAAGTGTTTCTCTGCCCTTCAGTACCCCTCTATTGAGAATTATCTGTTTAGCTCTGTAGCCCATTTTTTAATTGGATTACTTGGTTCGTCGGTGTTTAACTTCTTTTAAAATAATCATGTATATGAATGTTTTGCCTCCTTGCATATTTGTGTATAATGTGTATAGTACCAACCAATGCCAGAAGAGAGTATTGGATCCTCTGGAACTGGAGTTTCAGGTGGTTGAAGCTGTAGTGTACATGCTGGGAATTGAACCCAGCAACCTCTAGAAGAGCAACCAATGCTCTTAAATGCTGGGGTATCGCTCCAGCATGTTTTATAATAGTCATGTTTTATAATCTCTGTGTGTGTTCCTTCATTCATGTGTGCTGGTGCACTGTGTGCACATATGTTTAGAGGACTTTATCTATGCTTAGAGGTCTTTATATCAGGCGTCTTCCAAGATCACATTCTACCTTAACTTTTTTGGGGAGAAGAGCTCACTAAACGTCAGTTGGCAAGACTGACCAGCAAGCCCTGGAGATTTTGAAATAAAACAAAAACATTATGTGTTCATTAATCTAGGGAAACTTTTAATATATATATTCCTACATACAGGTAATGTGCACTATACGCACCTGGTTCCAACAGAGGCCAGAAGAGGGCATTGGATCCCCTGGAATTGGAGTTAAAGATGATTGTGAGCTGCAGTGTGGGTGCTGAGAATTGAACCTCTGACCTCTGAAAGAGCAGCCAGTGCTCTTTTAACTGCTGAGCCATTTCTCCAGCCCTGAGGGAAACATTTTTAACAAAATTAGATGAATGAAAATCAACTAGGGTGGGCATAGTGGTGCACACTTGTAATTCCAGCACTCTGGGAGGCAGAGGCAGGCAGATCTCTGTGACCTAAAGAAACCCTGTCTCGAACCTCCCTCCCCCTAAAAAAAAAGAAAGTCATCAACTAGCCAACCTTTTCCACTTGTGTGAAATCGTAATTTATTACAGATGGCAAGACTACACCTAGTAGTGTTAGTCACACTCTGCCTCCTGAGAAGGGAATCCAGAAGCAGAAATTGCTGATAGCAGAAAAGACCTCAGGCTGTGAGCACTGTAAGAACAGACTCTAGGGACACAGACTTCGGTGAGACAGCTTGTTTAATGGGGTGGGTTGAACAAAGGCTTCTTAAGCCTCTGGGGGGTGAGGAGGGGCTTTTGAGGTGAGTGTACATCATTGGGAGGGGAGGGTGCTGGGGATGCCTCATTTGCATAAGGAGGAATTCCAGGTGCTACCAACATGACTTTATAAGGGGAGAGGAAGTTTAACCTGGCTACTGGACTATAGTGGGTGTTCAAAGATGGAGGTGCAGGACTATGTGCACAGGCCTGGGGCAGGGGAAAACAGTCCTACTCCTGCCTGTCTCAGCATGAGATTTCTGCCCTTAGGACATGCCTCAACCCCACTCTTGCTCCGGGCCAGCTTCCCCCAGTTTCAAGGCTTCCTGGCTCCACATAATCCCAGTCCTTGGGAAGCTAACACTGGAGAATAACAAATGCAAGATCAGTGTGGGCTACCTAATGAGAACTTGTCTCCAAGAACAACAAAACAAAGGAAATGTTGAAGAAAATTTAGATCTTGTCAAATCAGAACCAAGGAACAAATTCTGATTGCTGTTTAAATTTATCAGTTGGCAGAAATATTGATAGGCAATTTCCAGATTTAGAGATATTAGTAAGTATACTTGTTCAGAAGAAAATACATATAGTGCTATATTAATTTAATTACCTAAAATTATAACTGGAAACATATTAACTCTACCCAGAGAAAAAATTGTTACACTAGCTCATATATCCTTTCGTAACTAAAATATCATAGGGAGAAGTGGATAAACTATATACTGTGTCCCCCTTTCAAATGATGAGCAAAGGGGCTAGATAGAGGTGGCTCTATGGTCCTGCAGAAGACCTGGGTTTGTTCCCAGTCTCACATGCTAGCTCTCAACTGCCACTGAGTCCAGCTCTGGCCTCTATGGGCATCTGGCATATATGTAGCATATGTAGGCACTAAAATAAAAATAAGTATTTTTTAAATGAACAAAACCTTTTTATTATATTCCTTCAAAGTTCTGCTCTCTGTCTCTCTCTGTTTGCCCCTCTCTATCTTTCTGAGATAGGGTCTCATAAGTAGATCTAGCTGGTCTAGAATTTGCTGTGTAGACCAGTCTGGCCTTAGACTCACAGAGATCTGCCTGCCTCTTCCTCCCAAACTGTAGATTAAGGTGTGTACTGCCATATCCTGTTCAATTGTATAAAATTCTAGATAATTATAGTGAGTGCAGACGAATAAGAATTAGATTGAAGATACTTTTGCGTAGTTATTTTTATTCTTTTGTTGAAACACAATTTAAAATGGTACTAAAATAGGACCAATTCAATTTTTCAATATAGGTATCTTCAAAGAACAGTAAAGCATCCAACATTGCTTCAGGATCCTGACTTAAGGCAGTTCTTGGAAAGCTCAGAGGTATTTCTACTTTAAATTGTCTCATTCATATTTGTCATAACTAATACAAGATTAGATATTCAGTAAATATTTAGTGCAGTGGACACAGTAAAACCATGTTTTGGGATTTTTGGTTTTGCTTAACTGCATTATTGGCAAATACCTCTTTTTAGTATTAGAGGATAATCAGTTCCTTTTTTGAAAGTTTAAACTGGATTTAATCAAATAGATTAGAAATAATTTTACTGTCTCTGCCCTGTTACCTTGAGATTTAAAAAACAAACAAACAAACAAAAAACAAAACAAAAACTTTGCAGGAGTCTCCGAATTTTCTAGAAGCTCACAGCACAGCCCTCAGAGCAAGCATCTCTGCTCACTAGCAGCCTGCTTGTGTTTGCAGACAGGTGGCCGTGTTAGAGCTTGGCAATTTCTTAATGTATTTTGACAAACAGCGTTTGTTCTATCTAAATGTAAACGTGCAGAAGAAAAGCAAATGGAAAGTCTATTTTTTAAGTTTTCCTTTGAGAATGTACAAGTAGTGCATTTGAGAAATTAGATCTCACTGTTGAAATGTACGAGGATGAAGAAAATACAGCCTGTTTTCTCTTTTCTTCTCTCTCTTCTCTTTATTTTGGGAGGGGGATCCCTTTTGTGCCCAGTTAAATCTCTAGGCTTTTAACCGGTTTGTTTGCCCTTATTTGTCATTCAATTCCAGCTGCCGAGAGCAGTTAATACACAGGCTCTGAGTGGAGCAGGAATATTGAGGATGGTGAACAAGGCTGCCGACGCTGTCAACAAAATGACAATCAAGATGAATGAATCGGATGCAGTAAGAGCTGATTTTTCGACTTGAATAATGAAATGAATTAATGAGCCCAACAATTGCATTTTAAAGCTGTACAAGCAGAAAATAGGATATTAATTTGCTTATTGAGTTCAGTTCTCAGCTCCATCAGTTGACCACCATGGTTATATATGGCTAATTTGCTGTTCTAAAACAAGGAAGGTAGCTGGCTATTGGTAACCCAATTTACAATGGTTCATTCTTCCTAAATTAGCTCCATTTTTCATTTTTTTTTTCTTAGTGGTTTGAAGAAAAGCAGCAGCAATTTGAGAATCTTGACCAGCAACTTCGGAAACTTCATGCCAGTGTTGAAGCCTTGGTCTGTCATAGAAAAGGTTTGTTTGCCGTGTTAAAGCGAACTCTTTGAAGTGATTGTAGAAAGGAGAGAACAATAGCTTCAGAGGACATTCTGTGCTACATGTGGTGCACGTAGGAGGCTCAAGCAGAACTGCCATGACTTGAAGCTTGCCTAGAGTCCACAGTGAGACTGTCTCAAAACAGAAAAAGAGGATTTTTTTTTGTATCTTTTAAAAATTTCCACTATATTTTTATCTAACTTCTAGTTTAAAATTAGAAAAATCAAGAGCTTATAAAACCATTTTAATTCACATTAAAATTAATACTCACTTGGCTAACTCTTGGTTCTTTAATAGATAAAATGGCTTTATTAGTAACTGATTATAATATAAATTTGAGATTTTAAAATTTTTAGTTACAGTGCTCAGATTATGGCTCAGTAGTAGAGTTCTTGTCTAGCATGTATGAGACCCTGAGTTCAATTCTCTGATCCATGGTGGAGAAAACTAAAAACTGATATTTACAGATTTTCTTGGAAGTATTTGTCTTGTGCCTTTACTTCTTGGAAAGCTCCAAATTACTTAGCTTATGTTCTTACAGTATTCTGGGGCTAGAGATACCTTATTTGGTAGTGCTTTTCTAATACAGAAGGCCTGGGCTTGAGCTCCAGCATCACAAACCAGGAAGTCAGTACTTAGGGCATCTTCTACATGGGCTGTTCAAGACCAGCCTAGGCTAGAGACTGAAAATAAAAAGTTCAAATCTTGGTGTTTAAAACTAAGTTTAGGGAAGTAAAAACTTCATAGAAAATTTGAGTTGCAATTTCTTTAATCTACAAAGTTTGGGGGTTGTTTGTTTTGCTTTGCTTTGTTTGACTTTGGGGCTGGGGTATTTTAAGAGTCCAAGACTCTTCATAATAGTTTTCTAAGGTACTATGTGACATAATACTTAATAGACTTCATTAACACAATGGTAACAAATCTAATTACCTGTATTATAATTCTTTCTTTTAAAAAAATATTTACTTTTATTTTATGTGCATTGGTGTTTTGCCTGCATGTATGTCTCTGTAGAAGTGTCAGATCCCCTGGAACTGGAGTTATAGACAGTTGTGAGCTGGGAATTGAACCTGTGTCCACTAGAAGAGCAGCCAGTGCTCTTAACCACTGACCCATCTCTCCAACCCCATATGATAATTATTTTTATATAATAATTTGTCATGGCTTTACTGTTTGTACTGTATATCTCTTAGGAAGTGGGCTTTGGATTTTTGAAAAAGACATATACTTAGAGCAACGGAACAGCTTTCAGAAAATGAAATTCTTAGTTACTGTCAGTTGCCTTTAAAAACCTGATCTTTCTTCATTTGAAATATCCGAACTGGTTATGTTAAAAATAGTGTAGAAGCAAGGCGTGGTGGCGCATGCCTTTAATCCCAGCACTCTGGGAGGCAGACACAGGCAGATCACTGTGAGTTCGAGGCCAGCCTGGTCTACAAAGTGAGTTCAGGATGGCCAAGACTACACAGAGAAACCCTTTCTGGGAAAACAAACAAACAAACAAACACACACACAAACACATTTTAAAGAATTCGTACTAGAGAATGATCTAAGTTTGAGGCCAGCCTGGACTAAATAATGAGTTCCCAGGCTAGTTCCTGTCTCACAAAAACAAAAAGAAACACAAATTGTCAAACTCTTAGCATCATTGCACAACAAATAAATTATACGATTTATGTACAATTGATACAATTAATTTTTTTCTTTCTGGGTAGACTGATAAGATTCTCATTAAAATTGAGATATTTTCAGTGACAAATGTTTAAATGCTAAAGAGCATAGTATGAATTAACTGTAATTTTTTTAAAAATTATTATTCTTAATCATATGTACTTGTGTGTACCAGTGTGTGGGTTTGCAGACTGTGTCCTCCAGGACACCAGTACAAACTCTTAACCTCAGAACTATTAACTTCAGTCTCATTAATTTTTATATTTATTCTTCATACATTAGAAACACATCTCGTTAACAGAATGCAGAAGAGAAAAAAAAAAGCGAACACGTTGGGGTGAAAAAGGAAAGGCAGGTTATTGCATTATTTAGACACAGTTCACCACCTGATTCTGTTTTGGCGGGTTGTGGGCTGTGTTGGGATTGGATGTCAACAGGCCCTTGCACATGCTGGGTAAGTGCTCACAGCAGTGCCGCTGCCTTGTAGCATCTGTGCCCAAGGCATTTTTACTGACTGCTTCATATTAGTTTAAAATAATTCACAAATTTTAATTAATTAGTTAAAACAATTAGCAAATTTTAAATAATTCATAAACTTAAAATATAATTCGTGAATAAATACAACTTAGAGAGAATGAGTATAATATTAAAAATTTACTAGCAAATACTAATACTAAATGTTTTTTTGTTTTTTAATTTCAGAACTTTCAGCCAACACAGCTGCCTTTGCTAAGAGTGCTGCCATGCTAGGTAATTCTGAGGACCACACTGCTCTGTCTAGAGCTTTATCTCAGCTTGCAGAGGTTGAGGAGAAGATAGACCAGTTACATCAAGAACAAGCTTTTGCTGACTTTTACATGTTCTCAGAACTTCTTAGTGACTACATTCGTCTTATTGCTGCAGTGAAAGTAAGCCCTATTCTACAAGCTTTCCTACATTCTTTTTACTTAAGCCATTTGCTTTAGAAGTAATTTACACTAGGCATGGTACAAATTGCCTATAGTGCTACCACACCTAAGTAGCAGATTGGGGAGGATGGCATGCTCAGGGCCAGCCTGGTCTATATAGTGAATTCTAGGCCAGTCAGGATTACACAAAAGTGCACACAAAGACATACACACCCTCATTTGGTTTTCTGTTAGAAAAACATTTAAGTGTGCAAATCCTATACTGTACCATGTACATAAAAGTGACTTCAAATAAGTACTTGTAACTTAACATTTTCTTCTTTTATGACATGGATTATGTAATAAACAGTTTTAAGAAGTCTGAAGAATGCTAAATAAGTGAAAAGAGTATACATTTATTTATATATTCATATGCAAATTTGCAGCTATTTGCATGTGTTTGCTCATTCTAGCAGTAACTGAAACTGCCCACCAGCTCTAGTTTCATTAGTAAAGCTTACTAGGCAGTAAGAAACAGGGAAAAACTAGTAGTGATTGTTGTCTTTAATGTTTCAGGAGGTCTTTAGCATGAATTTGGGCAGCAAAAAAATTGTATACTCAAATGTGTAGTCACGTTGTTATAAATGGAATGAGACTAAATTAGACCATAAATTATATTATGTAATGATGATATTAAATTTAAAATAAACCTGTTTCTGGATAGTTGCAGAAGGAATCTAGTTAAAAATTGGTGTTCTGCAAATGTCTTCAGTGTTCATGTCCGTACGTATTTAGTCTGTCAACATTTTCTGAAGGTACTTTGTGATGTTAGAGTGTCTTTGAGTTACTGTTATGGTTGAATGTCATAATGACAGGACCCAGCTATTCACCCTCCGCTTTACCCTGGATTCAAACATTTTAGAGAGCTAATGAGACCATCTTCCTTTCCTTGTGCAAACTGGTATTCATCTTTGGTGAGAACATTGTCATACCACCTATCTGTTGTTTTATTAGCTGTCTCTAGAGGGCTCAGCACTTCCAAATGGTGCTTTCTTAGAACTGACAAAAATTATCAACTTTGTATACTCTTTTATATAACTTCTATGCTTCTGGTGAGTTTTTTCTTTTGTTTAGAGCTGTTACCGGTTGTTTGTTTGAGACAGGGTTTCTCTGTGTAGCCTTTGCTGTCCTGTCCAGACCAGGCTGGCCTTAAACTAAGAGAGAGAGCATCCTGCCTCCGCCTCCCCAAGTGCTAAGAATAAGGCATGTACCACCGGGACCGGTGCTGTTACCATATTTGATGCATTTTTTTAACTTTATTGTATGTAGGAAGCTTTTATTTTTAACCTCATCTTGGCCTAGTTTTTAAGGCCTGATATTTTTTATTGTTATTTTTGAAAGTATTGTGTAGCCAAGGCTGGCTTGAACTCCTGACCCTTCTGACTCCACCCCCCAAGTGCCCAGATTATAAGCATGCACCACCAGATGGTGCATCCCATTTCTGTCTATCATCTGTTAATAGTCTCTAGAAAGACATGAGAGCTGTTATTTAAAATGAAAAACTAAGGGGCTGAAGAGAGGTTCTACACGTAAGGGCACATATGCTCTTGTAGAGGAACTAGGTTCATCAAGCCTACCTTTGCCTGGCTCATATCCAGCTTCAGGGGATCAGTTGCCCTCCTGAGCTCCACAGGTGCTCTTACATGTACACACACAAAAATAAAAACAAATCTATAATAAAGCAAAACAAAAATGCTTAAAAGAAATCGGTGGATCAGTAAGGGAAATTGACAATGTCTTTGAGCACACATATTGAGAAGGGTTACCCCAGGGAAAGACCCCTATGGAAGGGGTAGGCCTGCTGTGCTGCTCCAGCAAGAAAAACCTTTTACCACGCTACCTTTTTTTTTTTTTTTTTTAAATCTTTTTTAGGTTTCTACATTCCTTGAAGTTAGTTATGTCCATGTTTTCCAATTTTTTCTAGAGAATACTGGCATCCAAAAATGTGCCACAATCATTTGAGGTTGGGAAGAGTTATTTAACTTTCTTTAATCCAGAGGCATCTAAATTTATATGAAAAAAGTCTTTCATGCAAAATTTTTTTCTACTTAATGTGTCAAAGGTGTGTTGAAAAATGCTGAAGAACAATTTACTAAGAGAGCATTATAGAGCTATGGTTAGGTTTTGTAAAGGCAGCTTCTAATAAAATGTTGGTTAGGTCAGCTGTCTAAACGTAAGAGGTGGGAGTCATTAAGAACTATAAAAGGCAACAGTTAAATACACAGGACAATTCACATAGCCAAAAAGGGCATATTTCCCTCTCTGCGGCCAAGACTTCTAGCTTCCCTGACTTCAATTCAGTCTGTTAAGATTCTTGAGTCTCTTCAGAAAAGACTAGCTATGCATGTATATGAAGCTAATTTTTATCCCCACCCCTACTTGTTTTGTCTTTTTAAAGATTTACTTATTTTAATTTTTTATGTATATGAGTGTTTTGCTCATATATATGCATGTTTACTAGGGGCATGCCTACTGCCTGGTGTCTGTAGAGACAGAAGAGGCTATTAGAGCCCCTGAAACTATAGTAGCAGACAATTGTGAGCCACCATGTGGGTGTTGTGAGCCAAACCCAGATCTTAAACTGTGAGCCATCTCCCTAGCTCCTGATTTTTTAGTTTTGCTTTTCTTTGTTTTGAGACAAAGTCTTATTTTATAGTTCTAGCTGTCTTGGAACTCACTGTATAGATAGACCAGGCTGGCCTTGAACTCACAGAGATCCTCCTGCCTCTGCCTCCCAAGTGCTGGGATTGAGGTTGTAGTCCACCATACCTGGCTTTTCTCTCTCTAAGAAAAACCCATTGAGTTTATTGATAAAATTCACACTTTTCTTTACATGTGTAGATAGTACTCCAAATCAAACCCAGTTCTCTGTGTATCCTCTACCACTGAGCCACACCTAGCCCTATGCCATTTCTCAGTCTTTTTCTTTGGATTGTTAATTTCTTTTTGCCTTGTTCCCTTTTAAAACATTCATACCTGTTTCTAATAGCTACTTGGTATTCACTGGTGGTCTGTGTTATTCCTGTCAAGACAACATGAATATGATCATAACTTGAATCCATACTCCTAAGATTAGCATGTACTACAGAGGTACACTGTACAAAAGAGGGGCTTTCTAGACAAAAAGGAATTGGAATGAGTAAAATCTGTCTTTCTTTGGGCCCAATGCCTGATATTCTATTTTGGTTTTGTTTTTCTAAGGCAGGGTCAAGGCCAAGGTGGCTATGAAGTTACGACTCCCTTGCCTCTGCCTCCCAGTTGGGATTATAGGCATGAACCACAGCAACCACCTATTTACTGCTTCTTGATTAAAATATGTTTTTAAATTGAAATATCTCTGGCCTAGTGCTTTTTGATTCCCCTAGTTTGTTAGTAGTTGGCTCATTTGTTGTTAGTAAATATTTGAGATAATGTTACCATACCCCCAACATCAAGCTAAAAAGAAATTCATAGTGGGTCTTCCTATCCCATCCCATTGGTTTTCTTTTGGTCACACCCTAGTTGCTCTCCTATATCTGTATTTCATTCACTTCTTCATTCACTTGCTACTCCGACAGAGCTCTTGAAAGTAAGCTCTGGATTTGGTTGACTTGTTGTGGTAGAGGCTGTGTGTCAATTTCTTCAGTTAGTTCTGCCTTCTAGTTACATTCTTTGACCTTTTCCGCCATGTACAGGACTCACCTCTTCCCATTTTATGGGCCTTTACTTTTTATTTATTTGCTGTTTTTCTGTTGGAGTAATCTGTGACATTTGTACTTCGCTTCGTTACTTGGGGTCCCCCCCCTTTTTTTTTTAATACTGGGTCTCACTATGCAGCTCTGACTTGCTTAGAACTCACCTTATAAACCAAGCTGGTCTCAAGCTTAACAACAGCCCTCCTGATTCAGCCTCTTGATGCTGGGTTTGGAGGGGAGACCTGGCCTTCTTTTTTTTTGGGGGGGAGGGGGGGTTAGACAGGATTTCTCTGTGTATCCTTGGCTGTCTTGGAACTTGCTCTGTAGGCCTGGGTGGCCTCCTCCTCATAGTTCTGCCTGCCTCTGCCTCCTGAGTGCTGGGATTAAAGGCATGTGACATCACTGCTGGCTCATTTTATGTTTTAATTTCTGTTTTTCTAACATTTAAATATGCTTTGTATATTGTTCAGTAGAAGAGCTTCTAATGTACATCAGTGTTTTTTTCATTAAATACATCTTTTTTAGACTGATAAAACTCTTATTGCAAGCCACATTTAAAATCCTAACAGCTAGTGAAATTGCTGTTGGCATGCATATTTTCATTGTCTCCATATACTAGGATAACATTTAAATACTTGGCTTTATAGATTTCAGTATTATTATACTTACATTGTAATGAGAGTATTTTACAATATTGCTTAATATCTTTATGCCATCCATTTATAGGGAGTGTTTGACCATCGAATGAAATGCTGGCAGAAATGGGAAGATGCTCAAATCACTTTGCTGAAAAAACGTGAAACTGAGGCAAAAATGATGGTTGCTAACAAACCAGATAAAATTCAACAAGCTAAAAATGAAATAAGAGAGGTAATTAATAATACTTTATTTCTTTACTCAGATTTTCATGTCATTCATATATGCATAACTTTTCATATTTTTTTATTCATTTAGCACCTAGCTATTTTTCCATATTCTTATGAATTATGTGAGTTAGTTAGAAGAACTTAACATTTTTATCATTATTAAAATCTGCAGAGTCCTTTGTGACCTCACAAGACTATGAAATGAGTAGAGAAGCATGCAAGGAGGAAATCTAAACTTAACCTTTGTGTTTGTACTTTTCTTTTCAAATGGTTTTGATTTCACATGGGTACTCATTTTGTATCTGAAAATGGTTTTAAAGGTAGACCTACCCACGTTTAGTTCTATGGGCAGTATTATCCCCCATATATATGTATTATATATGGTATTTTAATAAATTTGTATAAGTTTATTATAATTTATACACTTTTTTTGCCATGCTTCAATAAGGAAATTGAAGAGGTAGGACAACCTTTATATTACTTCAGATAAGTATACCTGCTCTTTGCAGAGTATGGACCAGCATTTTGGTTACATAGTGGGAATTACCATTTCATTGCTTAAATCTTTATTTTAGCTGTTTCATTGGTCACTAGTCACATTTTGTTGTTACCATTCTGAATTTAATGGTTATTGATGAACATTCAGTAGACAATAAATAGTTCCAATTTTTAAAAATCTAGTCATTTTACCTATCATTTAAAAAATGTCTTTAAGTGTTTGTCATATGTTGAAGTATTTCCGTGAACATATGAATTGTGATAAACATGTGTTATTAAAATTGATATAGTTGGCATATTTTGAAATGTGTAGCAATTGGACTACAGACTTTTAATTTATTTGTTAGGGAGCTTTATACTCAACATCCCTCCAGTTGTATCTAATGGGTATTGGCAAGGTGGTTTTTTTAACTTGCTGGTTTTAAGACGAGATCTAACCATGTTACCTTAGGCCAGCCTGGTATTCACAGTCCTCCCGTACCCTCTTTCTCAATGTCACAGTTACAGGCGAGAGCTACTATACCTGGCAGGAGATTACAGTTAGTTAAATATTGAAAATTTCTACTATTAACTACACATAGTAATGGATTATTAATGGCATTTAAGCTGACATATATTTCTACCACTAGAAAGTGAAGTATACTTTCTTTTTTGCGTGTGGATGGGGTGTGCATGAAAGCACAAGTGTGTGGGCATATGCGTATGTGCATGGACATGTGTGTGCATGCATATGGAGGCCACAGTTTCGTGTTGAATCTCTTACCCTGTCACTTTCCACTTTATGTGTTCAGTCAGTCTTTTACTAGAGCCCAGAGCTTGCTGGCTTGACTTGTCTAGTTAGCCAGCTTTCCCCAGGGAACCTCCGTCTCTGCCTGCAGGGTGCGGGGATTACAGGCAAGCTGTCATGCCCACCCAGCATCTCCATGGTTGCTGGAGATCTACTTCTGATCACCGTGCTAGCACAGCAAGTGCTTTACCCACGGAATTAAGTCCTCAGTTTCTAGATACACTACTGAATTATGTTAGACTGGGTTTTCCAATATTGCTCAGTCTTGGTTCTTTTAGGCATTTTGGTTAAGTTAGATGAGTAATCATGACAGTACAGTATTTTTTCCAGGCAAAATTAAGCATATTTTTCTCTTGTTTGTTTTCCCTAGTGGGAGGCGAAAGTACAACAAGGAGAGAGAGATTTTGAGCAGATCTCTAAAACAATTCGAAAAGAAGTGGGAAGATTTGAGGCATGTATCAGTGTTCTATACTTTCCTTAATTTTGCTACAGCTCTGTGGTAAACTTAAATTTCATTTCCTACTAATGTCCTTTTTTAATGTATCATACTTTAACAGAAAGAAAGAGTGAAAGATTTTAAAACTGTTATCATCAAGTACTTGGAATCATTAGTACAAACACAGCAACAGGTAAGCTTATTTTCCTTATAGCTTCTGGCTCTTCTCAGAGTCATTTTAAAAATGATTAATAATAAATAGGCTTTTAAGCTGAAGGAAATAACTAAAAGTGGACTAAAGAAAGCTAGGACAACAAAGGGGAAAATGCTAAAATAACTGGATACTGTCTCAGTCTTTTTGCCTGTACAGAATAATACACAGAGATTAATTATTCCCAACATTAGGCCATATAAAGTCACAGAGGGCTGGAGCAGCTGAAAGCACTTCCTGCTCTTACAAAGAACCCAGGTTCAGTTCCCAGTATTCCCCTTATCTTTGATGTTCATTCTGTTTTGGAGATAGTCCCTGTATATATCCCAGGGTAGCCTTGATACTACCATTTTTGTGCCTCAGCCTGCCCAAAGGTGATGTCGTAGGGATGTACCATGGCTCTTGGCTTTATAGTCCTACTTCCCCTTCCATGTCAGACAGACTGATGGAGTAAGTGTTCCTACTGTATTTCTCTCCTCTACAACAGATAGTTAGACTGAAAACTAATTTTTTTACATTTTTGTTTTTCTTTGTAGTATTTTGATAATTTTGTTTTATTTGGAATATTTTATGCTTGAATTCTACAACTGGCACTTGTTTCCTTGTGAGCTTTCATGATACATTAAATAAAGTCTATAAAATAGAATTTTGCATATATAAATCAAACAACTTAGTGTCTTTAATAGAAATAATTCTCCTAGTTAGTTTTAAAATGTGCAGAAATACATACTTTTCTGTATAATATATCATATCTTCAAATTCAATGCAGGTACAGTAGTGAGGACCTGAGACCCCAACAAAGTTAGATTTTTAAAAATGGAACTGTTGGGCAGTGGTGGCACACATCTTTAATCCCAGCACACAGGAGGCAAAGGCAGGTGGATCTCTGAGTTCAAGGCTAGCCTGGTCTGCAAAGTGAGTTCCAGGACAGCCAGGGCTACACAGAGAAACCCTGTCTTCAAAAATAAAAAATAAAGGAAAATAAGAAACTAAATCAGTTAAAATTGTTTCCAAAGAAATTATTTTATTTCAACTCTTTAGTGTACAGTCAGTCTTTTCTGTGGGTGATCCAGAGACTGGCAGCTAATTTTTCAGTCCTTTTTTTCCTTCCTTACTCAATATTGGCTTTCCCACTTCCATTATTCCAGTCTTTTTAACTAGCAATAATATAAAACGTGAATGTCCTAGAAATTAGGGTATGTTACTACTTTATGTTAGAAATGTCATTATAATTAGGTAAATTTAGGGTTTTAAACTATTTAGTAATAGAACGTTTTTATGTATAAATTTGCATATATCTAAGAAGTATAAAGCATAGATTTAAAATTATGTTGTTTATAGCAGAATCTGTAATTAGCTGGGAGTACTATTTAAATAAGTTAGTACTTATTAATTCTGTTGATAAGACATCTGGTGGGGAAATGATCCATTTAGGAAGCATATGTAGCCAGGTCTGGTGATGAATACCTGTAATCCCAGTGCAGTGAAACACAAGCAGAAGGCCTGCCACAAATCAAGGACAGACAGCTCTATGCAGTAGGGAAAGCCTGTCTGGAAAAGCCATGGAAAATAAAGCAGAAACAGCACATAGGCCAGGTATGGGCCTGCAAGCACAGGAAGGTCAGCTTGAGCTAACAGTGAACCCCTTTCTCAAACAGATGAAAACAGACTATCACCACAAATACATATAGTTATATGTATCAATGTTTTAAAGACTAAATTAGTTTTAGCTGCTTATGTATATGCTTTAAGAAAATATATATATACATTAAAATGACAAAAATGTAACGAAAATATCTCTTTATTATCACCCACAGCTCATAAAGTACTGGGAGGCATTCCTACCTGAAGCCAAAGCCATTGCATAGCGATAACGTTATCCCTGTTAAGGAGACATTGGATTCCTCAGTGAGATCATCTAGAAACCATCTAAATAAACCACTATATATTTTATGAATTACATGTGGGTTTTTTATATAAAAAAAATATGCGCTGACATTTTATTACAAGCTGCATGTCCTGACCCTCTTTGAATTAAGTGGACTGTGGCATGATATTCTGCAATATTTTGCTGAATTGAACACTATTGTGTCTTAAATACTTGCACTAAAAAGTGCACTGCAAGGCCAGAAAATTTTACAGTCTTCTTTCTTTATGTTTATGTATGTTTACCCTCATTATGAAGCAGATTAGCAATGCATTGATTAATGTTCACTTATACATTCCTGTACAGAAATTATGATTTGTGATTATAGTAATAAAATGATATTACTTGTGAAATATTAGTAATAAATTATTTGAGTTTATAAACATGTTAGGGATCTTTTTTTAATAGGAAGAAATACTTCTAAATGTATATAGTTAATACTGTGATTCTTTAAATGTTTTAATTGTTAGGAAATGCCAAATTCTTACATTGAATAGCTAAATGAAGTTTATAAATTGTCTTGTAAAACAACCATAAATCAGGGAACAATTATCTTGGTCTTTTTAGGTAAAGAAGAGATTTTAAATGCCCATTGTAATAGTTAGGAGAGATTGGGCATGTAGTTATGCCTGTAATCTCAGCATGTGGAAAACGGAAATAAGTGAATCACCACAAATTCAAGGTTGGTCTGGGCTAGACAGTCAAAACAAACAAAGGATGGTATTAGTATTTCAGTCATACGTGATGTGTTGTGGATTCCTTCCTTCCTTCCTTCCTTCCTTCCTTCCTTCCTTCCTTCCTTCCTTCCTTCCTTC